GAATGATGAAGGCAATGAATGTACAAATGTGCTTTACACAATTGATGTATGTATGGATTGTGATGAGTTGTATGAGCCCCTAATAAAATGATTTTTTAAAATGACTTATGCACAGATGGGAATTTAAAAACTTAAAAGAGAAAACCGCACGCGGCATAGATCAAACTGGAAGGACTAAAGAAAAAATTCAGCCCTCAAGCTGTAATATTGAAGATTCTGTTAGCAGAATATTTAATGAGGCAGAAACATCAAAAGAAGATGGAGACAGAAAGTCAGCATATCACAAAGAACCAGTCAGTATTCAGACATCTCAAGAGGTAGCGTATGATCAAGAACGGATGGTATTGAAGGAAGAACTCCAAGTTGTACTGAAGGCATTACAGAAAAGCAGAGCCCCAGGAATTGATAGAATACGAATTTAAATATTTCAACAATCTGATGATATGCTTAACACACCCATTCATCAATGGCAGAAATATGGAAGAAAACGCCTTAGCCAACTAACTAAAAGAGAATCAATATTTGTGCTGATTCCAAAGGAAGATGACCCAACAAAATGCAGAAAGTATCAAACAATATCATTAATATCACATACAAGTAAGATTTTACTGAAGATTATTCAAAATTATGGCAATAGTACCTTGAGAGGGAGCTGCCAGAAATCCTGGTTGGATTCAGAAGAGGACTTGACAGAGGGATATGACTATTGATGTCAGATGCATCTTGGCTGAAAGCAGAGGACACTAGAAAGATGTTTACTCGTGTTTTATTAACTATGCAAGCATCTTTAGTTATGTGGATCATAACTATGGATAACATTGAAAAGAACTGAAATTCCAGAACATTTCATTGTGCTCCTGTGGAAAGTATACATGTACCAAGAGTCAAACAGACAAACAGAAGGAGGGACTCCTTCAGGTTTAAAATCAGAAAAGGTAGGTGTCAGAGTTGGGTCCACCCACCACACTTACTCCATCTGCATGCTGTGAAAATAATCTGAAAAGATGGAATGTGACATCCGTCTTGGGGGAGGACTTATTACAACCAGTGATGTGACCATGGCAATGTGGCTTGCTGAAAGCTAGGAGGACCTGAAGCACGCGTTGAGGGAAACCGAGGACTGCAACCTTCGACGTGGATTACAACTCATTGTAAAGAAACCCAAATTCCTCACCACCAGCTCAAAAGACGCCATCGTAATAAATGAGAAAAGATAAAAGTGGTCAAAGGTTCCATTTTTTATTGGACCCACAGGCAAAGGTCACAGAAGGAACCGTTGAGAAATCAAACATCATAGCACATTCGGCAAATCTGCTGTGCAGCCCTCTTTCACGTGCTGAAGATCAAGGATGTCACTCTGGAGACAAAGGGGCACCTGATCCAAGCCACGGTATTTTCGTCGGCCTGCTGTGCATGTGGCGGTTAGACAATGAATAAGGGAAAGCACAAAAGAATCGATGCGTTCAAATTCTAGAATTGGTGAAGACTATTGAAAGACCATCGGCTGTGAGAAGAAGAAACAGATTTGTCTTGGAGGAAGTACAGTCAGTATGCTCTTTAGAAGGAAGGATGGTCAGATTTTGTCTCAAGTGCCATCGACATGTTACCAATACAAACCAGTCCCTGGAAAAGGGCGTCTTGGTAAAGTGGAGGGGCTGTAAAAGAAAGAAAGAAAGAAAGAAAGATAAGAAGATCCTCAGGAGATGACTGACATGGGGCGTGTGCCAATAGACTCAAACATAAAAGCAGCTGTGAGGGTGGCCCAGGACCAAACGGTGTTTCCTTCTGATGCGCACCGTGTTACTATGAGTCGGAACCAACTTGGTGGCACCGAAAAGCAACTGTGTCTACGGAGTAGCACGTTCTCACAGCTTCTTCCCTCCAGAAAGCCACAGAGAGGGGCCATTGCAAGTGTTCTCCTCACCTTGAATCACGCAGCATGCAGGACTGAGAGTAAGAGTCGTTACCCTCCTTCAGGAAGGGTCTGGAGGGACCATGGAGCTATAGCTGCAGAAGGTCCATCGTGACCCTCTGCCCTTCTATGAAGAGAAGGGTCCCATGGATCCAGGCTTCAAACCCCCAGATTCACCCCGTAGCAGCCTCACAAATGCCTGCCTCATCTTGGGGTTCCCCAGGATGAGGATAAATGAGTGGCCCATGGCATACAGCATTGTGATGGCCTCTCCAACCATCACTGCCAGCTTGGCCTTTGGAAAGAAATAACTAGATGAAGCGATTGAAAAGGAGAGGAAGTTGAGCAGGAAGAGGAAGAAGAAGGAGAGGATGATGCTGGTGGCCCTCTTGTGGGCTTCGGTGCTAAAGTCCCCGGAGCCAGCCCCAGTGTACTGCATCTGACGGGTGTGTCTCCCCAAGGAGAGGAGGAGCAGGCAGTAGGAGGCCAGGGTCATCACCAAGGGAGGGAGGTACCACAGAGTCCCAAGGACATGGATCAGCTTGTAGTTGTGTATATTGTCTCTCAGGTCACCTGTCATATTCACTGTGATACTGGAGTAGTTCTTAAATTCACGGATCAGAGACAGAGTACTTCCCAAGGACAAGAGTAGGGCGCCCAGCAGCACCCACATGACCACCCTGGAGACCCTCCACTTGAGCCAGAGGAAAGTGGGATGGGAGAAACTGGAGATCTTCAGGCAGTACAGGACACCCAGGCAGGTGGTGAGCCAGATGCTCAGATGATTTGTAAATGTCCAGAAGAGATCGATCAGCTTCATGACAATCCCTCTCTCGTGTTCGTTGGGAGAGAATAATATCAAAACCCCATCAAACAGGAGAACCCACAGCAGAACCATCCGGGAGAGGGCCAGGGTGGTGACAATCGAGTCATACAACGAGATTCTCTTGCTCTTGAGCCATCCACGGCCATTGAACAGCCCAATGAAACCATTCGCCAGCAGCCCCAGAAGGAATTGAGCAATGGACTGAGCCAGAAACACCCACTCAGCAAGTCCCAGCATGTCTTCTGGAAGTCTAGCTCTGGTCGTTTCCGTGGATGTACCACCTCCTTGCTGACATGGAACACCGCTCTGAGTCGCTGGCTTCCCTGTGCCCGTTTCCTTAGTCTGCCCGGTTCAGTCCATCATAGAGCACAGGTGAGTGGGTCCTCTCTGGCCCTTTCCAGGTGAATCTGCCCTCTTCACAGATGGCACAGATTATCATGTTTCATCTATGCTCAAATTCAGCAGCTCTTTGCTGAATGCAAATAGAGCCGTGTCCTGTGTCACGGGACAAGAGAGAAATGAATCACAAACAAGGTGGAGACTTGGGCTTAGTTTCAAAGGAAGTGGGACTCTGAACCACCCAGACAGACAGAGAGGTGCTGCCAGAAGGAGGTACGGTCACTAAAAAGATCTAGAAGTCTTGTCCCCCAGTAGGAAAGACCCAGAGACACACACAAAAGGGGATCTATCAGAACCCCGCCATAGAGCACTGTCAGAATCTCCCTGAAGGAAGTGGAGGTGCATCAGACAGAAAACACTCAGGGCCACTGACCTTGGATGCACATGGAAAGACATGCCCCCCAGAGCTTGCCTCACACCAGGGAACCCCCAGGTCATTTCTGTGACCCACCACATAGTCTTGCCTATCCGGATATTCCCCAAAAAGAACAATAACAAAGGATAGCCTCTAAGCCCTTTTGAAATTTGTGTGAGTACACGACCCATGTTGATCTATGCCAACAGGCTGGCAGATCAAGCACAGCATGGCCCTGTGTCCAGCAGACACGCTGTGCTTGGCTACAACTGTGCCTGGCTGACTTTGACCAGGATGAGCGGCAGCACTTTTCATATGGTTGCAGGATTGTAAACATAATTCACATTCTGAATGTCTATGTGGGCCCTGCTCTCATCATCACTTGACAATTTGTTTAGAACTAGAGGGCACATGGAGACTATCTAGGGAAGTGTCCAGAATGCTTTTTTTTTTCTTTTCTTTTTAATATACCCTTTAAATATGCAACATCAGCCTTTTACTTCTGGAAAGTTTCCATGTTAGGCTGTTTTGTTTGTTTGTCTTTTGGGGGGGGTGAATTTCCAGTTATGCATATATGGGATCTTCTCTACCTTCTATATTCTTCTGATCCCGTATTGGCTAACGTTGTTCCCCATTACACTGTACAGTTTTCTCGTTTCTTTCTTTTCTCTGTCAGTTGCTGAACTTGCAGCCATTTTCACCTCCATACTACTTAATAATCATTCTTATTTTTATTGTGCCTACTTCTTTTTTGATGTGTTTCAGCTTGTTTTTCTTTTCATCCATCCACCTGGTTTTGCCTCTATTCACCGCTCTGTTGGCTTTTCTTGAAATTCATATGAATATATTTACAATGCATGTGAATATGCTTGCTCCCGATTTTCTTCTACATAACAGCAAAACATGGTTGGACTTTTATTCTTTCCACTCATATCTCCCTTTCCTGTTGTCTGATCTTTGTGTGGATGCTCCGTACGTTGATGTCTGGTTACTCCTGTTTGAAAGCACAGTTTTTTTTTTCCTTTTTGCAATAGATTCACCAGGTAGAGAATCCAATGGGCTAGTGCCCACGTGGGTTTGAACCCCACTCTCAGTACCAAAATGTGTTAGACAGGGTTCTCTAGAGAGACAAAACCAGATTGCTAATAATTTTATATATATATTTATAAAGATAGATAACACAAGAAATGAACAGTTAAATTATAAAGCAGTACAAATAGCTCAGAGCAACTCACTCCCGTGAGAGAGTTGTGAGACACTGGCAGTCCTTCAAGTCTTGAGGGCCTCCAGGTAGTCCTCTGTAGAGAGATCCAGGCAGCAAACAGCAAGGCAAGTCACCAACTGTCCGCCAGGCCACCAACATTCAGTCCCCAGCTCAAGAGATGTAAATTCCAATTGTGTGGTGAAGCAGGTCTTAAAGGGACCTCAGATTATAGTAACACAGACCACAGGTAGTGTAGCTTGCAAATTGAGGCACAGAGCAAACAAGGCAGCCGCACACTGGTCTGATGATCAAAGAGCGAGAGACAAGAAAGGCGAGGCTCGCCAAGCCATTTATCTCTTCTCCCTTCAATTAATCCCACATGTGTTTATCGGCCAGGCTGGCACAATAAACTAACCACCTCAATCCACCCCTTGCCAACCTGGCACCTGTACACAATTCTTTAGCCATATATACTTATATAATTTCCAGACACTGATGAAATCACACTTATACTTATCATCAATCATCTATCATATATATAAATGAAAACACAGTCCAATTGTATCTGATATATCATACCTGAACAAAGGAAAGATATGCAATAAGCACATAAAAAGAAAATACATTGGCATACCAATAGCAAGGTTTTGGGTTACTGTGGCTATGTAATAGGTTTGGAAATTGGAAAGTGAGAGACTGTCTCCTTTGTTTCAGTTTTTCAATAGTATTTCATTCATCTTGGGTTTCTTTGCTATCTATATAAAGTTGATGATTAGCGTTTCATTTCTTTGAAGAATTGTGCTGGAGTTTGGATCAGAATCACATAGAGTTTACAGAATGCTTCTGGTCACCGTATATAACATTTTCCATATATTTAGTCTTCCAACCCATGAACATGTAACATTCTTGCATATATACAAGTCTCTTTCGGTTCCTCATAGAAGGGTTTTATAGATTTCTTTGTATCAATCTTTTGTTTCTCTAAGTTTATTCCTAAATATTTAATCTCTGGGGTGGTTAATGTAAATTATTTTTTATAATTTCCTTTTCTGAGTCGTCTTTTTTAATATACAAGCATCCTATTGATTTTTGTACATTGATCTTATAGCCTGCTATATTGTTAATTTTTTTCAATTCGTTCCATAAGTATTCTTATTGAATTTGGAGGATTTTCTATATATATGACCAAATCATCTGCAAATAGAGTTTTGCTTCTGCTTTGCCTATTAGGGTGTTATTTATTTTTTATGTCAACAAGCTCTGGAAAAGATTCCAGAACTATAATAATTGAGAATGATCAAGGGCCTTCCTGTCTAGTTCCCATTCAGAGGGGCATGCTTTCAGTTTCTCTACTTTGCGTGAAATGTTCGCCATTGGTTTTGCATGTATGCCTCCTATTATACTGTGAAATTTCCCTTCTATCCTATTAAGTGCTTTTATCAAGAATGTATGTTTAATTTTATTGAATGCATCAATTAATGCATTCATATGACTCATTCTTATTTATATGGTAGGCTTTATTATTGTTTTTCTAATAATGAACCATCCTTGAATACCTCATATCACCCCACTAATCCTAACATATTTTTATTAATGTTTTCTTCAGTTCTGTTCATTAGAATTTGGTTGAAATTTTTGGTATCTATATTCATAAGGGATATTAACCTATACATTTTATATTATGTATTTCCTTGTTTTGATAACAGAGTTAAACTTGCTTCACAAAATGAGTGTGGTAGTACATTGCTCTCTTCTGTATGCTGAAATCGTTTGTGTAAAACTGGTGCTAAATTTTCTCTAGATGTTTAGTAGAATTCCCCAGTAAAAGCACCCGGTCCTGCACTTTTTGATGTTGGGTTTTGTAGTAGTTACATGATTTCATATCAACTCGATAAACAGAGTCCAAGGGTAGAGTCTAGCTTTTTAATCAAGCCACAGCCTGAGAATGCCTTCCTGTGGGTGTAGCCTTCTCATAAAAAGGGTCTGGGAACCTCCACTCTCTCTGTCTTCACCTTCCTGTTGGCTGAAGCTGCCCGCTCAAACCCTGTGGCACAGCCACCACCATTGGATCCACATGACTTTGCACCCATGGGTCCGTGATCTTCCTGCATTCTGCATCATTGCATGTGGCTGCGTGAGTCTGAAGAGGGGCTTATGGACTAGTATCAGACTTATGGACTTGATCTGGATTGAGCTGGGATATTTGTTTGATATGTAATTAGTTCCTGATATAACACTTTCTTTTATGGATACGTGAGAGTCTTTCAATCGGTTTCTCTAGTCAACCTGACCTAACACAGGTTTCTTAAATTACCAGATTTTTTTTTCTTGTTATCTAGGTTAGTGTTTTCTATATCAATTTGTGTTCATTTAGAAAGGTAATGTGTGTATAGAATTTCATCTATTTCTTCTAGGTTTTTGCATTTGTTGGAATACAGACCTTCATAATATTTTTTAATTATCTTTTTTACTTCGATTGATTTTGTTGTGATGTTTCCCATTTTATTTCTTATTCATAATATTTGTTTTATTCCTTCCTATCTTAGGTTTGCCACTGGTATATCAATTTTGTTAATCCTTTCAAAGAACCAACTTCTTGTTTTGTTGACTTTTTTCTATTTTTTTTCTGATACACCTATTTCTACTCTAATTTTATTATTTCTGTTCTTCTGGTGACTGAAGGTTTGTTTGCTGGATATGTTAGGCCGGGTCGGCTTCAGGAACAAATCAGAGACACTCATGTGTGTAAGAGAGAGTTTTACATCAAAGAACAACTGTATATTGAGAAAACGCCCCAGCTCAGTCCAAATCAAGTCCGTAAGTCTGATATTAGCCCGTGAGTCCAATACTGCTCCATAAATTACTCTTCAGACTCCTGCAGAACATACAATGAGGCAGGATGCAGGAAGATCACAGGCTGGTGGGTGCAAAGTATTGTGGATACAATGGTGGTGGAAGCATCTCAGCGCTGGTGAGTCTCCTTGTGGCTCCTCCAGTTCTCTGAGTATCTCAACAGTTGGCACAGGTCTCCACTGCATGGCTTGCTCAGGCCTCAGCGTGGCTCCACATGGCTCATCAACAGGAAGGTGAAGCAGAGCACAAGGAAGTTCCCAAAATCCTCTTGAGAAGTCCATGCCCACAAGGAGGCATCATCAGGCTGTGACCTGATTGGCAGGCTGGACTCCACCCCTTCACTATTAATACCCTCAAGTTGACATGAGATTCTGTAGCTACCACAGTGATCTTTTTCTAATTGTTGTTTGTGTTATAGCTTATATT